GCACGAGAGTGGGGTCAAGGGAGATGTTGGTGTACGAGATGAATAAAGTGAAGATCGAATGTAAAACAAAGTGACTACAGTTGATAACACTGTATTATATAATTGAAATTTTCTAAGAGACTAGAACTTAAATGCTCACATATACACACTAACTGACCAATGTAAAAAAGGAAAAAAAAACAACAACTTTGAAGGATGCCTGGTCAATCAGGAAGTGGATAGGAAAGCTAGAGATCAGGCTTAGAGGACAAGGCTGCCAAAACCACAGCCGGAGTTCCCTTATCATGTGGTAAAGTTGTCTTCAGGGGCTCTGCTGACATTGCGGCCCCTCAACAGTATGCTGTTTTTGCCCACCGCCATTAATAAAGTTCCCTTCATGTCCCTTGATCCAGACTTAAAGTCCCAAGCAGAACATCCTGTCAACTGAACCTAGATCTGTCTCTGCTCTCTGACAATCTGTGATCTGTCCCTGTCCCCTGGGACCATCTTCCCTTCTCTGAAAAGATGCATCCTGCCCCTAATCAGGGTTCTCGCTGTGGGGACATGTCCCTAAATAAAGAAGGTTTGGACCTTAGGCTGCCAAAGCAATGGAAATGCCCACTAAACTGACTGAAAGTGTTCTGAATCATTGCTCCAGAGAATAGCCTTCCTTAGAATTTTTAAAATACAAATAAGATCGATTCCTGGCTGTCTGAAATGGTTTAGATAACAGCTCCTCCATGAAGCAGAGATGGATTAAAATATAATATGTTCTTGCACAGCTATCATCTCCTGAAATGCTAGAAATACCTTCATGTCAATGTCTTATCCTAAGAAGCCTGAGAGCTGGAATCTAGAATTACAATTCTTTTTTTTCCCCCTAGGATCTTGCTACAAAGAATTTGGTAAGGAGATGCATGTCCTCCCCCAAGTCGGCTGTCTCCATTTGTAACTGATACTACATACAGCAGGGAAGCATCTGTGTTTCAGAAAAATGATGTGTGAAAACAGTTTTCAAAAATGCACGCTTTCTACATTAAAAAAAAAACTAAAAATATGTTTGGTTACCACTTTGTAGAGCCTATTGAATTTGGCTGTGAATGGGAATCTAATTGCCATCCGTTTCTATTGGAGCCTTCTATGAACATGACATTTCCATTTAAAAAGAGAAGTCAGCTATAGCATTATGGTGTGTATGCTGAAATCGTAAAAAAAAAATTAAGGACTAGTTGGTTGTTTAATAATTTATATTTCTTCTTTACAGCCCATTAGAGGAAATAAGGAAAGCCACAGGTATAGAAAATATCATTTGTGTTGGCGAAGGTAAAAGGAACATTCTTACTGAAGTGTTACAAATAGCTCCCTGGTTTTGAACGATGGCTACTGATTATTCTCCTGTTTTTCATTTATAACCGGAGAAGATCTTCTTTGTCACCTGCTCTTGTTACTGTGGGACTTGCACCACAACATTACCACTTGCAGGGCTGAATCTGAGGGCTGAGGGACCCACAGCTTGGGTTAGAGTGGCCAGACTTAAACTGCACTTGATGCAGAAATATCTGTTCATTGCTCCGTGCATGGCAGGAAAAAATAATATATTTTCCTAAACTTGGTAGCTTGATGTTCGTGAACAGCACCCCTTCTCCTTCTCTTTCTAGCTTTTCTTTTTCAGTAATTTGAAGAGCAGTACCCAGTTGTTGAGTTGGACAGTCTGTTTTTAATGATTTTATTTTTTTTCCTTTGGTGAGCCCTTGGCCAAGGGAAGGCGCTATTTCAGCAGTGCAGATAAGATTTACGGTTAATAAGGTAAAACACACAATGATGCCAGATTAATATTTCTCAAGCACTGTTCCAATTAACATCTGCCCTAATGAATGTAATGTCTCTAACTTCCACCCTAATTGAATCCAGAGTTCTACCCCTGGACTTCAAGAGTCTTCACTTTATGGTCTCTGCCTATCTTCTAATGTTTCATTCTACTATTTCCCTATTTGAACAGTATAGACCAGCTCAGTGGTTTTCAATCCAGGCTGCACATCAAAATTACACGGGGAGCTTTTTAAAAAATGCTGATGCCCAGGGCCCACTGCATGCTAACTGAATATGAATCTGGGGGTGAAGCATAAGGCATCAATTTGTTTTTTCTGGGTGTTTTGGAGTTTTTAAAAGCTCCTTATTCTGGTCATCTATTGTTGCAAAACAAACTACTCAAGACCTATTTGTATAAAACAGAGGCCATTTCAGTATGCTCCCAAATTCTGTGGGTCAAGAATTCGGAAGGATCACAGCACTGATGGTGTGTCTCTGCTCTACGATGTTGGGGTCTTGGCTCAAAAAACACAAATGGCTAGGCGTGTCTCAAATAGTTAGGTGCTGGAATCATCTAGAGGCTTGCTTATTCACTTTTTTAAGGCTTAGCCTGGGACTCCTCAAAGACTAGGCTCAGCTGGTATTGTTACCCAGCAGGTCTACATATGCTTCCCCATATAGCCTCCTCAAAGCATGGTAGCTCAAGTAGTCAAATTGCCCCAGATAGCCCAGGAGCAAATATTCCCCTGAAAAAGGTGGAATTGTGGGGCCTTTTACATACTTGCCTCAGGAGGCACATAGCGTCACTTCTGCATTTTATTCATCAAAGCAGTCAGCATCCTTCAGGGGAGGGGGCCCACTTCTCTATAGGAAGGAAGCATGTCAGTGAATTTGTGGCCACGTTTTAAAAGTTGCCACACATCCTTGGTAAGTCCATTTAGAGCCAGAGTTGAGAACAACTGGATCCATGTCTTACAAACACTGACCTGCGGAGCAGGGCTGGGACTTGCGTGAGGTGAATGAGGCAGCTAGGGTGCAAAATTGAAGAAGGTAGTCACTCTCAGGATTGTGCAAGTGCAAGGGAGCATCTCCTTACATTTTGTACCCCAGGTGCTTTCCTGGCCTTGTCCTGGTGCTGGCCCTGCTACAGAGCACCTGTATATGAGTCACGAGTGGGAGCAGGATTTAGATTCCTGAGTCTCATACTTTGATATTCTGATTCAATGAGCCTGGAGTAGGGACTGGGATTCTGTATATTTTCAAAGAATTTCAGTGGACTGATTACAGATTCCATGTGCTTTCCTGGTACCATGCCTTTGCTCAGGCTGTTCCCTCTACCTTGAACGTCTTTTCCTTCTATTTCTATCACCTATGGAATATCTACCAATGTTTAAGATCCATTTCAAATACTACCCCTTTTATCAAGCAAAGGTACCAACAGAGTATAAAACTGTACCTTCTAAGAAACCCATAGCACTTTTTATATACCTTAAGACACATTTTGTCCCATATTTTTTGTGGACATATCTTCTAGAAAGAACATACTTCTTTTTTTAGGAGGCCAAAAAATGGAGATCTGGATCCACCCCATCAATTCTCATAGGTAGCGTTCTGTTAAGAGAAGGTGTGATTCTCTTTGACTCATCTTGCTCCCAGATTGTTCAGCTTTGTAACCCACACAGCAGCCGGCATGCGCCTTGTCCATTTTAGGTGCCCAATAAACAGTGGATATTATCCTCTTCTGATGAAAGGTGATATTCCCATTTTTGCAGCCTTCATAGAAGCCCCCAAATATTGAATAATTACCCTAGTTTAAATGCTTAGCATAGATAGGGTTTTCATTCTTTTTTTTAATTTTATTATGTTAATCACCATACATTACATTAGTTTTTGATGTAGTGTTCCATGATTCACTGTTTGCATATAACACCCAGTGCTCCACGCAGAATGTGCCCTCTTTAATACCCATCACCAGGCTAACCCACTCCTCCACCCCCCTCCCCTCTAGAACCTCAGTTTGCTTCTCAGAGTCCATAGTCTCTCATGGTTTGTCTCCCCCTCCGAATTCCCACCCCTTCATTTTTCCCTTCTTACTATCTTCTTCTTTTCTTTCTTTCTTTCTTTTTTTTTTTTTTTAACATAGAACGTATTATTTGTTTCAGAGGTACGGGTCTGTGATTCAACAGTCTTGCACAATTCACAGCGCTCACCATAGCACATACCCTCCCCAATGTCCATCACCCAGCCACCCCAGTCCCTCCCACCCCCCCACCACTCCAGCAACCCTCAATTTGTTTCCTGAGATTAAGAATTCCTCATATCAGTGAGGTCATATGATACATGTCTTTCTCTGATTGACTTATTTCGCTCAGCATAATACCCTCCAGTTCCATCCATGTCATTGCAAATGGCAAGATTTCATTTTTTGGTGACTGCATAATATTCCATTGTATATATACACCACATCTTCTTTGTCCATTCATCTGTCGATGGACATCTTGGCTCTTTCCATAGTTTGGCTATTGTGGACATTGCTGCTATAAACATCGGGGTGCACGTACCCCTTCAGAAGGGATTGCATTCTTTGTTGTGACTTCTATTTTGGAAATTTTCTTGCTTGAACTTTACCTGACAATCCTTTCCACATAGCAAAGGGTTCCCCCCTCCCCACTCTATGCAGAGTCCATAGTACTACCTTTGTCGATGGCAAACCCACATTTAAGCCTCAGAAGCCTTTTATTTAGGTAAGCACCACCTTTGTGACCATTTTACTGATGAAGAAAACTGGGGCTTAAAGATTTAACAACTTTCTGGATCACAAGATAACAGAGAAACTGAGGCGGGTTTGAAACCCAGGCCTCCAAGATTCCAAAACTTAATGATGTAACCCCTATGCCAATCCAGACCCTCACTAATTGTGGTGGCTATTAAACCCACCCACCTTTGTGGAGGGTGGGGCAGAAACGTCCGCTTGGACGAAAAGCAAAGTTGGCAAAATCAATTCGAATCTCTCTTAAGTCGTATGGTTTCCACCGCGGGGTAAACTCGGGGGCGCCTTGACTTCGCGCTTTGGCTCTCGGGACACAGGCCCTCGCATCAGTACCCGTGTGGGTCCGCTACCTCCCCGCTGGCGGCGCGAGGGTGGGGCGGGGGCTCCCGGTCGTCTCGGGCGGCGGCCAATGGCAGTGCGAGGGTCAGACTCTGCTCCCAGCGAGGGGCGCAGCGGTTGCTAAGTGCAGGGAGGAGACGGATCCCGCGCCAGCAGCCCAGGGAAGGGGGAGGCGCGAGCGAGAGCGCGTGGGAGCGCGGAGGCCCGAGCCGGGATTGGGAGCGAGCCGAGAGAGACGCCGGGGAGGCGCGCGGGAGCGAACGCCCGCTCGGGAGCCGGAGCCCCGCGGCACTGCGGCCGCGCCCTTGCCGGAGCCCTTGCGGCCGCCCAGTCCCGCTCCGCCCGCCGCAGCCACAGCTCCGGAGGATGGAGGACTCCCGGGAGACGTCGCCGTCCTCCAACAACTCCTCGGAAGAGCTCAGCTCTGCCCTGCAGCTGTCCAAGGGCATGTCGATCTTCCTCGACGTAAGTACAGCGCGCAGGAGTTGGGTCGGTGGTCCCCCCCTGCATCTTTCCTCTTCCCCCCGAGGAGGGCGGTGGGTCCAGGCGTAGATCAGCCGCCGATCAGCTGTTTGCCCCCAGAACACCAACAGAACCACCTCCTACCTCGCTCCCCTGTCCCCCTGGAAATGCACCGAGCAAATGCGGGAGAAATGACTGCCACTCAACTTGTAGAAAGGGTTGCCCTGCACCTGCAGCTCGGGGCTTAACACCCTGAACGAACGGCGGAAGTTAAATTTTCCAACGGGTGAGTTTCGTTGGGGACTCGATTTGTAAATACAACAGTCTCCATTCAGGTGAAGAGAGCATTTTAAAGGGGACTAATGGAGGGAGGTAACATTAACTCAACTCCTTTCTGGTGTGCCCTGTTTTGCAGCCCCCTATCTCCCTGAAGCTCTAAGGCGACGGGGGAAGCAGTAGAGATTGCGATGCCTCCTTCCCCAACCCCCACGGAGAACAATTACTTTGAAAGCATACTTGTTTTTCTGTTTTACAGCGGTGGCCAAGATCTCTTTCATGATGATACTTTTTTTACTGCCACCTCCTATTTTTCCGTTTTTCTCTCCTGCTCTTCTCCTTCCCTATACCTTTCCAAGTTTTAATTACTATTCATCAAATGCTACCGTTTGCCTCTTCTTCCTTTGGGCCTCTCCCCCACCCCCACCCTTTTGGGATTGATTCCCTTCTTTTCTGAGATGGTGATCGTTCTTTCTCATTCTTGGTTTTCTTTTTTCACTTCCTGTCCTCACGCTGGAGTTTTTAACCTTTACAGCAGTTGTGTTTCTTATTTATTTCTCAATTTTGCTTTACTGTCCCTTTCTGTTGTTTCTGTTCTTTATTTTTTTCACCCTGTTGCCCAGCTCTTTTCTCTGCTGTTAGGATTCGTGGTTTTCCTATCCCTCAGCTCCTGCTCCCTTAGCCCCTCCGTTGTCGCATTGATGCTGTCCGCTGGAGGTAGTTGCTGGCTTAGTGGGGACAATGCTGGCCCCTTCTCATTTAGGCATGAGAGAAAATTGGCAAAAGGCTTTGAGGAGTGCTGTGTGCTCGTTCCTCTACCCTTCCCTGAGATCATTTCTTATTAAAATCCAACTGTATATAAAACTGAAATACATTTATTTGTGGAGAGATGAAAATGTGAGGAAATCAACTTAGTAGCATCATAATGGTGAAGCAGATGTCATGAAGATAAGGGGGATGGGGTGAGGAGCTCTCCCAAGTTTATTTTGAATGGATTAGCTGGGATTTTTTAATTGGGAGAGAAAACCATATGAATAATTAAATCTGGCCTAAGGCAAATGTTGTAGGTAAGGCTCAGCTGTGTCTCCTGGCAGGTTCCTCCCCTCATTACTATGCAGTTCCAGTTGGGGATCCAGGCTTTCTTGGCCGGCCATCTTCCCCATCAAAACAATCTGATTCCCATTCCTTCTCTCAGAAGGATTAAGTACCTTATTCTTCCTGTTCTGGTCAATCAGGTGACGTTTGGATGCTAATGGCTGATATTCTTCCTTTTCACTCCTGCCATTCAGGGCCAAAAAGCCCTTGCGTAAACCGAGCTGGGAGAAGGGGGCACAGAGCACCCCTGAGAAAGGAATGTTCAGGGATAGCATCAGAGTCCCAGAAACTCATGTCTATTATGAGGTCAATGGCTAAGCTGCCGTGAAGTTGATTCAAAGAGGGCAAGAGAGCCTTCCATTCATTCTGGCCTGATCTTCACTCTGTCCCCCAAGGATATCAGGTGCTTCTCTGTGACTTTCTTAAAGCAGTGAACAAATCCTTATGATACTGTAAAGATGAATGGATTGAGCTGTATAAATGAAGGTCATCCTCCTCGGCACACACACTAATCTTGACCCAACCGTTCAAACTGCTACTAAAAAAGAAAAAAAGAAGAAAAAAGAAAAGAGGAAATTAAAATCGTATTTATTATTGTATCTACACGATTGTTCTCAAGCTCTGTAAATAAACAGCATCAGGTCCCTGGTCCTGAAGGAACATGTACTCTATGAATAGGATACCCTCGCCGCCTTCTATTTCTAGAATTTAAAAATAAAACATATAAAACTGATTTCACATGAGAGGTGTTGACATGCTTGTTTGCCAGTAAAATGCTAGTGTCTATAAAAGAACAAAACAAACCTGCCACTGGATTTTATCTCAAATAGAAAAGATTTTGTTTACACTTTTCTTTGAGATATTTTGTGAAAAATCTAGCACTCTGATGAAATATGTGACATGAAAAAGGATTATATACTTAGGGATTTTTGAATTACTCATTTCTGGATCATATTGTTTTTAGCAAAAATAAAATGTGAAATATAAATACATAATTTATTTGATTTGTTTTAATATATTCTAGTAGTACTGCTAAAAAAGATTGCTTTTTGAATTCTAGTCAGATTATAGTAAGTAGATAATAGGTATCCCCTGTTCCAAAGAGGAACAGGAATGAAACCCATTAGAGCCTTCTGCATCACACAGACTGATTTCCAAATTTGAGGAAAACTTTGATTTCCAGTGTTTGTATTCCAATGCCACTGTAATAATCAGTTCTCTGAGAAATGATTTGAACTCCTTTTGAGGATACCGTTGATGCATGACTAGGCATGTCCAGCGGGTAAGAAACTAGCCATAGATCAGAAAATCAGAGAGGAATTTACCATAACTATTGGCTTTTCCTTCATTTCCTTTCCAAATCAGCAACAGTGATGACTACGGTACTTAACTCAAGAGGTTGTATTACGTGAGAGTTCACAGGATAAGAAAACTGAGAAGAAAAAGGAAATGAGCTATATAAATTTGAACTATTCTTGCTACATCAGTGTTCCCTATTGAATGCCTAAGTAACAGCCAATCCACAAATTAATACAGACACTGATCCATTATGAATCTGATGTATATTATTTTCTATCTAAAAATGACAGAATGACATCTCAGTTCATCATCAGTACTCTTGAATGCCTCCTGGGGGGCTTAGAAACCCAGGGCTGGTAGCAAGGCATGCTCACGCACCCCGGCCCACGGGGCACGCAGGAGACGGACGGCACTGGGTGTCGTGTGCAGCAATGTGGAAGGACCAGGACATTGGTGGTTCTTTTCCTTCTTAACACCTCTACACTCTCCTTTCCCAGGTTCTTTCATTCCAGATAACAGGATAAACTCTACAATACTAGTCTGTATAGCATGTGGTCCCTCTTTTGAATCTTTACATTAATCAACTCCACTACTGTGCAAAGGGAGAACACCTTCAGATCATCCCCCGAAGCATGGTAAATGTGAAGTTAGTTACAACTTCACCACTTGCTGCCACTGTCTTTTCCCAAACAGTTTTGATTTTTAGCTGGAAAGAAAGTGGCCCTTCCTCATTTGACTAGAGGCAGAAGTGGGGCCTGGGAGGTTCTGAAGGAGAGAGAGGATTTTACTCTCTGTCTTCCCTTCCTTCCCCCAACCAAACATGCACGCCCATGAACCCTGAACAAAATGCACAGTGCCTGGATGGTCAGAGACTTGGTGAAAACAAGCAACAGCTTTGCTTGGTAAAAATACTGAGTTCTGAAGCCCTGGACATATGCACGTATACTCATCTGTACAAGAGGTGAGATGGACAGGGGACCGTCAGAGCAGAAACCGTTTTCCAGGGACGCCTGGGTGGCTCAGTCAGTTAAGCGCCTCCCTTTGGCTCAGGTCATGATCCTGGGGTCCTGGGATCAGCCCCGCGTCATCGGACTCCCTGCTCAGTGGGGAGCCTGCTTCTCCCTCTGACCCTCCCCCATCTTGTGCTCTTTCTCTCAGATAAATAAATAAAATCTTAAAAAAAAAAAAAAAAGAAACCGTTTTCCAGGTATAACAGTTCTGTGACCAAACTCGGTTAGAGCTGTATATCTCCTATCCTGCCTAGTGCGCACTAGATAATTTGAGGGAAATTGTTCCGTTGGGAGCATGGCAGTTAATCCCCTCATTGTCTACCCTAATTGGCCAGGCAAATAGCACTCTCCTAATTTTAAGAACCTGCAGAAATAAGGGAAACTTAGTTTTAATGTTATACATTTAAAACTCTTTGCTCACACAAGGCCTATTTTAGGCAAGACTGAGAAGATAAAAATGTATGTGCCGATTACTTTTTCTCCATTTCTCATCAGTGCCCACTCCCCTGCATCCTAGCTCAATGGCAACTAGCAGAGTGGTAGCAAAACTTCCTCCCGGAGGTCAAGGTCTGCACACTAGTGTTTGCCTAGCAGGTCTTCCCTTCTGGATGCTACTCTGTGTTCTGGAGGAGTGCCAACTTCCCTGTCCTCTATCCCCATTTCTCAGGAGTCTGACTGGCTCATCTCATTACTTAATTTTAACCTGGTACAGAGTAGGAGGCACTTATCAAATATTAGTTCAGTAAATAGTGACTGTTAGTTTTTTAGGCCTCAGAGATAACATTTGCATTTTAACACCTGCTCTCAATAACTTCAGGTGAGAAATGAGGAATTTCAATGAAGGCCTTCAAAGAAGAGCTTTGGGGTAAAGGATGTTATCCGAGAATTCTTAAATTGTTGCAAAAACACAGTGTAACCTCTGCATTTGAGTTTTAATTCTGACCATAATATATCTATTATCTATCCTGTGGTATTTAACTGGTAAGATTAGCCAATCCAGATGACTATGGAAGCATAATGTAATGAACTTAGTTTTCATTTGCAGTACATTTCTTATTAGGCTGTGGGCTCAGAGGCAAAATTCGCAGCAGAGACAGTTCTGTTCATATTTAATTACAAAGAACTGTCTTAATAAAGAAAGCTACTGTCTTAATTTCATTGCTAAGAGGCTGAATGCTATTTAAGACAGTTCTTTATGAAATGAAATGATAGAAGTCAGGGGTCCGAGTCTCTGGTGTGCAGTTATTCCTATTCTAGTTACTCATAAGGACACAAGAGAGCTTGAAATAGAATCTTAGGGTATATTAAAGGTAAGAATTAGGCTGTGTTTCATGTCTCCCTGACTCTCAGTGGGAGCTTCATAGTTTCAGAGGAGAGGAGGAAGCTGGGTATGATGGAGAGATGGATTCCCAAAACCCCCATTAGAAATTACCTCTGTGGAGTAAAAAGGATTTGTGTCTCATTCTGTTCTAAGCACAGAAGCTCTTAGGACTGAAAGCAGTTTTCTTACAATAATAAATTTAGTTTATAAAGGGGGACCAGCTTATGCACACAAGTCAGGATGATACATGTTGGAAATTTTTCAAAGGTGAGATGTTTATTAATAATATTAGTATCTTATAATAAACACATTATAATAATGATTAGATTTAACCATACTTCATAAGGTCAAGAGAAGGAGAGAGGATAATGTCTATTTAGTAGAAAGCAGTAAAACTTTGGTAGTAAAAACTATTGCTCATGTTTCAAGCTGCCCACCAAGAAGTGATGACCTAAATTTAAGAGTAGCTCTGGTTACTTAACATAACTCTGTATTGCTCAGAAAAATGATCCTCAAGTCCCCCTTGCATGTGATTCAAGGTTATCTTTGCAATATTATAAAGGGACATTTTCTTTGGTACTATATATAACATAGCTATGTGTTATATTATGCAGATTTTTTTTCTGTCAGTCTACAGTATCAGCAAGGGCTAATTAGATTGTTGCTAACAGAAAAAAAAAAATAACCCAAACTATCTTAAGATTTAAAACAGTAATTTAAAGGCTCCTGTAATGAAAAGTGGAGATCATCTTGTCAGGATGGCTTGATCAGAAGCTCAGAGAGTGTCACCAGGATCCACTTTCAGTCTCTGGATGGGCACTGCTTTCTTGAGGGCTGGTTACATCCAGGTTTTATGTTGTATCAATTTCCTAAGGCTGCTGTAACAGTGTTCTGCACACAGAGTGCCTTAAACAACCAAATGTATCCTGTCAGTTCTGGAGGCTAGATGGTTGCCATCAAGGTGTAGGTAGGACGTTGCTCCCTCTGAAGTCTGCAGGGGAGAATCCGCTCGGTGCCTGTCCGCTAGCTTCTCACTGTGGCCAGTCCTTTACAGTCTTTGGCTTGCAGCAGCATCACACCAGTATCTGCCTCCATTATCATATGGTCTCCTCTGTCTAAGCTTCTCTGAATCTCGCTTTCCTTACAAAGTCACCAGTCTTTGGATGTAGGGCCCACCCCAATCCGGTAAGAGCTTATCTTAATACGATTACATCAGCAAAGACTATTTTCCAACAAGGTCACCTTCACAGTTACTGGGGGTTAGGACTTCCACTTTTGTTTTGAGGCAACACAGTTCAACCCATGATGGATATAATAACAGAAGTGGGGAGGGCAGCTTCTTACCTGTATCTTCCCAGGTTCAAAGTCAGCAGAAGAAAGTGTGTCTCTCTTGACAATTCAAGCAAAACCATGGCCTTACTGTGCTCCTGCCTGAGTAATCACTGTGGCCAGAGTGATGTGACACCCTGTTTGCCAGGCCCAAGTGCTCTGCCCAATCCTCAAGCTCATGGGCCACAGTGGAGAAAAGACTTGTTGCCCGGAAGAAAATTTTGAACTCATTACCAAAGATACCTGATGGCCAAGCAGTTCTTATCCACCAGAGATAATACAATTAATGCATAGAAATAAAGTAAGATTTAATGTAGACACATGAGCTCTATTTATTCATAATTTCTTATTTTTTTTCTATTCCCAGTTTATTGAGCTATGATTGACTTACATTAAATTGCACATATTTAAAGTGAAAAGTTGATGAGTTTTTACATATATATATGCCTATGAAACTATTACCATAATCGAGATAATAAATGTATCTACCACTCCAAAAAGTTTTCTCGTGTCCTTTTATAATGCCCTCCCTGCTCATATGTATGCAACCCTTAATCTTATTTCTGTCACTATGGATTAGTTTGCATTTTCTAGAATGTTATATAAATGGAATCATATAGCAGGTAATTTTTGTGCCTAGGTTTTTACTCAACATCATTATTTAGCGATCCATCTAATTTATTGTGTGTATCAAGAGCTCATTCCTCTTTATTGCTCAATAGTATTCACTGTATGGATGTGTCACAGGTTTTTTATCCATTCACTTGTTCAAAGACATTTGGGTCATTTTCAGTTTCTGACTATTCTAAGGAAACATCTCAATTGGGAAATCTTTATTTAAAATTGGAATTTCCACGAGACGCCTGGGTGGCTCAGTCGGTTAAGTGTCTGCCTTCCGCTGAGGTCATGATCTCAGGGTCTTGGGATTGAGTCCTGTAGCGGGCTCCCTGCTCAGTGAGGAGCCTGCTTCTCCCTCTGCCTGCCGCTCCCCCTGCCTGTGTGCTCTCACTCGCTCGCTCTCTCTCTCTGTCTCTCGCTCTCCGGTATCTCTCTGACAAATAAATAAATAAAATCTTAAAAAATATAAATAAATAAAATTGGAATTTCTTTTATTTACTAATGGGCAAAATATGTGTGAGTATAATGTTCACTGCAATTGCAAAAAAATGGTAATAAAATTTTTCTTTTTTCTCTTTCAGATACTGAGGAGAGCAGATAAAAATGGTAAGACCAAAAATCTGTAGTTTCTATTTATTGATCTCTTACCTTTTAGATCACCTTCTAAAGAATAATAAGAAAGAGAGAGGAGAACCCAAGAAACTGATACATAAAATGTCAGCCTCTGGTACTCATAAGAGTTTTAGGCAAGTTTATGGCTCCAGATATGCATGAGAAGTTGAAAGAGGTACTTACATTTGACAGGAAGATGGAATTTATGCCTTTGAAGTGAGCAGCTGTCATAGCTCCAGCTTTTCCCTTTTATGCTTTAATTTTAAAGTAATAACAGCTTCTATTCATTGAGTGTCTACTGTGTGCCAGGCATTGGGTCAAGTGCTTTGAGTTATTTCTTAGAGTTAATAAGATATAGATCTGAGACTTGAACCCCGGGTCTGTGTGGCACAGGAGTCTAGGCTGTCCACACTGAACTTCAGGGTGACCTTGGGGGCTGTTGTTGCACTTGAAGGTGGCTAACTAGAAGCCTACTTTGCCAACCTTACCTTCGCTCCATAACTCTTGGCCATCCCTCTCGCATGGGAAGTGTATACCCTGGGACTGATAATCTACAGAGACAGAGAAGTAAGAGAAACTAGAAGAAAAAAATTGTTCTGTCAGAGGAACTACAATTTAAATGAAGCCTGCACAAAGTCCAACTATAAGCTGTCATAAGCAATATCTTTTGACTCTTATCCCACTACAAATTGTGTTCCATAGAGCACCGAATCAGAGCTTATCAAGTTTATTTTGCTGCTATAGTACAAGTACATAATAGAGCTATATTCTTGACAAGACTTTCTCAACAAATTTAAGAGACAGAGTCCTTTCCTTTTCTTGAAATCGGATTTCTTATCTATGGGGAAGGCTTACAGGCAGAGTCCAGATCTGACACTTCTAAAAACATTTGCTGTGGTCTAGGGAGCCCTTAAGCAGCCAGATCAAGAAAATCTTGATTGGCACTCTATAGCTTTTCACACAACAGAAAATAGATTACTCCAAGGAGCAATAAAATACTGTCCCAAACCCTGATAATATTTAACTGTGCCTGTCCATCAGAATGTCTTCTCAAACTATGTTAAAGGGGTTAATATATTATCAGTTCAAAGGGTTTTTTCTTTTTTCACCAGAATCCCTTGATTAATTTTTAAGGCAGATGTACTGATGCTGTGATCCTGCTTGTTGGCCTCGTGCCTGACATCCAAACCCAGTGATGCCCGAAGTACAGCTGAATAGTCCATATGGCTCCGTGCTGTCTGCCTGCGATTTCAGCAGCCATTTGTAGTTCAGAGATGCCTTTTCTCTCTCTCTCCCCAAGCTCCTAGTTTTCTCAGGCTACACCTTCCTTTTCTTGGACCCCAAGGTCTGATTGAAGGTCATCATTACCTTTGTATATATCACTCTTCTCTCCATCAAAACTTGCATCTTTTGGTGGCCTGCTGTCATAATCCATAGTCATAATAAAAAGTACTTGAAAAACCAAATTCATGATTTACTGGAGTTTATGATAACCTCATATGTTATGCTATGAAGACTGGTCCCTTGGACTGGGAGCCCTGTGTGGGCCTCTTCGGTCCCCAGTTTTTTTACCTGCCTCCTTCCCATATATGATACCTCTTGTCTCCTCGCTCCCTGCCCTAATGCCTGATCCTAATGTGCTGTCAAGGCTATCTGCCTCTCTGCTCTTATTCTCACAGTCTTCGCCATGCATCCTCTTCTGCAGCTCTCTGAAGCACCAGGGATTCTCTGAGCATCACTCCGTCTGTCACATCTCTGTGGTGTCCTTGCTTTGACTTCCACATGCTCTACCCTTTCCACTCTTAGCCAGCTTGAGAACTCGCATGTATTGCTTGCATCTTGCTCGGAAGGCACCTTGTCGAAACGCCTTCCTCAGCTTCCCCTTGCAGGGCCCCACCCTCTATCTGGGCTCTCCGCACTGTGGCTTGTATTGGTTATTCCCTTTTGCGGGGACTGCCGTTGTTTGCTGATGATTCTACTCCCTTAAGCCAAACTTGCCTCTCTAGGGCGAGGAACTTGTCTTATGAATGGATCCTATGCTCAGCCAGTACTGGGTACTCAACGGATGTTCACTTAATGAATTAACAATGATTAATGACATTTTCCTCCATTACCCATCTCCCTTCTGTCTATCTACTCTTTCCCCTGCCTTCCATCCTGCTTTACTCTTCTCCCTCATTCTCAGTGTAAAGTGAGAGGAAGGAAGAGAGAGGCAGGTCTGGGTTTAAATCACAGCTCTGCACCTAGTAGCTCTGTGGCTTTGGGTGAGTAACAAACTCTTCACCCTCAGCTCTCTCATCTACAGAATAGAGATAATAGCATCTATGTGTGTCATGGGGTTATTATGAGTAATCAATGACATACAGATGTAAAATCCCCAGGGAAGTGCATGGTACATAGTAACAACTTACACCTGCTTGTTTTGGAGTTGTGATGCCTTGGCTAGTGGAGACACTTGGTGACATTCCAGTCATTTCTATTTCAGTGGAGTTTAGGGGGGAAAAGCCTATTTACCATACGTGCAGAATTGAGAAAGGGAAAAAGTATAGTGGATAATCTAAAGTAAAGGAGAAGATACCAGCATTTAAAAAAAAAAAACCATCTTTCTGAACCATGTGTTCATTCCATTCTGTATTTGTAAATAAAGAGCTGCTGCATGTACGTGATCTCTGGGTAACAGACCCTCATATGACAGAATCCCTCATGGACTGCATAATCGGTGATGGAGTAAGAACAGGAATAAGAGGTAATAAGCAGTATGATACTTAGCTTACCAGAGTACAGATTTAGCTTCTGGGATCTATCTGACATGAGAGAAGCTGCTGGAGAAATGGGTGGGGAAAAATACATGATAGCAATTAGCTATAATAATGGTGTCTTAGAGAGATTCATTTGGTTTTGGTTGCTGTTCTAAAATCATAGGCTAGGATCCTAGACATAAAGACAGACCTCAAAATAGGAAAGATTAGAAGAGATGTGAGTGCTTTGATCTAAAGAGCCCAGAATTAAACCTAAAAATGCAAAACTCCCGAGAAAGCTTACTTATATGCAGGTTGAATGAAAATGGAAATGATACATGGGTATTTGTAAAATTTGCAAAAAAAAAAATTTTAACCTTAGAAAAAGGCAAAATGAAAGGCTCATAGTAATTAAGAACACCATGGATTGCTTTTGCTGATGTGTACTTGCTAAGATCTGCTGCCATTCTTGACCCAGCAAATAGGTAGGCTGTAAGGGTGGCTCTTTTAATCCCAATGAATGACTGATCTCTGTAAGAAATTGACATAGTTCTCCTCAGTGGATGTTAATCTATTCCAGCAGCCTGTACATTATAAATCTGTGAGGACAGAGAATGTGCCTATTTCACATAGCATCAGGCCCACAGTGGTGATCAAAATGCCTGTCAGAGAAAGACAATTATCATATGGTTTCACTCATATGTGGAACATAAGAAAAAGGGCAGAGGACCGTAGGGGAAGGGAGGGAAAACTGAATGGGAAGTCATCAGAGAGGGAGAAAAACCATGAGAGACTCTTTTTTTAAAAAATTTTTATTGTTATGTTAATCACTGTACATTAATCATTAGTTCTTGATGTAGTGTTTTATGATTCATTGTTTGTGCATAACACCCAGTGCTCCACGCAGAACCATGAGAGACTCTTAACTCTAGGAAACAAACTGAGGGTTGCTGGAGGGGAGGTGGGGGAGGGGATGGGGTAACTGGGTGATGGGTATTAAGGAGGGCACGTGATGGGATGACCAGTAGGTGTTAAGCAAAACTGATAAATTATTAAGTGCTACATCTGAAACTAATGATGTACTATAAGTTGGCTAACTGAATTTAAAAAAAATTCCTGTCACAACATCCGTGCTCAATAAATACTTGCAAATCTATTTGTAAGAGGTATATAACCAACAGTCTGATACTGAAAACTGAAGAAACACAATCTTATACGCCAGTTAAACTAAGCGTTGTTATTTATCTGTTGTTTATTAATTAATAATATTAGCTAAAACCCTAAAGTTTCCACCAAAAACAGTGTTAGAACTAATGAATGAATTCAGTAAAGTTGCAGTGTACGAAAGCAATATACAAAAATCTGTTGCATTTTTATATACTGACAATGAACTATCAGGAAAAGAAACTAGGAAAACAGTCCCATTTACAGTTGCATCAAAAAGAATGAAATACTAGATATAAATTTAACCAATGTGGTGAAAGACTTGTACAGACATTAATAAAAGACATTAATGAGAGAAATTGAAAAGGACAAAAATATTTGGAAAGATATTCTGTGCTAGTGGATTAGAAGACAATACTGATAAAATGTTGATATTACCCAAAGCAATCTACAGATTCAATGTATTTCCTTTCAGAATTTTGGTGGAATTTTTCAGAAATAGAAAAAACAATCTTAAAATCGGAACAGAACTACATCTGGCATTAAAAACACTAATATAGGGGCGCCTGGGTAGCTCAGCTGGTTAAGCATCTGACTCTTGATTTGGGCTCAGGTCATGATCTCAGGGGTCATGAGATTGAGCTCTGCTTGGGGCTCCGCACTCAGCACAGAATCTGCTTGGGATTCTCTCTCCTCTCCCTCTGCCTCTCCCCCAACTCTGTCTTTCTCTCTCTCAAATAAATAAAATCTTTAAAAAATAAAATAAAAGTAAAAACACTAATATAAGAACAATTGATGTTGAATTTGTGTTTGGGTATATTTTGAAGACTTCATTGGATCATTGGATCACCTATGTTAATAGGTTAAGTGAGAATTGGTAAGAGCCTTTCAATGTGGTTGCCCAAGGTTTGGTTTATTCAATTAACATATACAAATATGACCTCAGGTAGAGGGGTGAAACACAGGTTCGGTAAGTGGGAGTATTTTCCCTGAAGACAGGGAAACTTTCAGAGTACCCCCCCAGAGGTCTGTGGTTTTGTATTTCCTGCATCTTGATCACAAGGCCGTCCTTTGATGTGATCTACTTACTTA